CAAGACATCGTGATAATAAACTTTCCTCTCTCCCTTCTACTGTAAACCTTTTTGGGTCCCTGTCCATCGCCCTCACCCAGTCGCCTCCATACACCCTTCAGTTCCCAAACTTTTGATCCTAATTCTCCTATTTCTAGTTCCCCTTTAGGTTTATTCATCTATAAACCTTCGTCGTTCTGTAATTACCCAGGTTATGTACTACTATTTAATTTACTATCTACTATTCTCGGTGAATGAATAAGTGCACAGTTCAGTTTTTGTTATAGTTTTACACGAAGTTCTCCATGTGTGGTAGATCACGTGGCATACTGAGTCCATTAAACAACAATATTCAATACGTGAAAAATGCTTACCCCAGAATCGGAAGAGCCATTTTTCATATTTTAAATAATATAAATATAGAAAAAATAAAATCGTAACCTAACTTTAAAACACCTTCATTACTGAGCAATTGGATGAAATATATAATGTAAAGCCTCACGTCGCGGTAAAGCTGTCAGTGGTGGACATAAAGTGAAGTGTGAGGGAAGGGGGCGTGGCTGAGCAAGTACAAACTAGGAGTCCGCCCAAATATCGCTTCTTTTAGCTAAAACACGCAAACGTAATTGATTGGAAACCGTGAATTCTACTTTATTTCATGGCCTCGTGGAATGCTTGGGGCGGGGTCCTTCTTACTCTGAAAGGCGCCCTTGCCCAAGATATCCAATAACTGTTGGCGGGAGTACATCCCTTCTAAGATGTGCTTCTGCACACACACACACACACACGCACGTGCATATATGTATAATACATATAAATATATATATATATATATATATATATATATATATATATATAATATATATATATATATATATATATATATATATATATATATATATATATATATATATATATATATATATATATATATAATATATATATATATATATATATATATATATATATATGTATATGTATATATATATGTAAATATATATGTATATATATAAATACATATATAAACTCGTACAATTACAAATGATGATAGTAATGCCGTTTTTTTTACATAAGATTTTTTTTTTTACTCTATTTCGCCAGGATAAAACAAGAATTACTTATTATTTGAAGATCTCAGTGGATCGTCCTCTATCTTCAGTTAAAACTAAACATAATTCAACCACACTGCAAAACGCCATTCACAACAAAACTGTTATACACTCTAATGCCCACTACAAAGGACTCTGGATCGCCAAAACCTATGACCAAGGAACGTATAACTAGGTAGATCCATTTCCGTTTAGCCTGATGAAACCAAAAATGAAATTTACTCTTTTCTGGAGTATTGTGATGGCTGTAAATGGTAAGGAACTCTTCGCTTTTGTACATAAAAGAGAGGGATTTTGGTGTTACTTATGGTAGTGATACAGATAATGAATAAGTTATACAGATAATTATGTATCTAGCTATATCTAGCATCTTACAGAAGACTCTCATTGATTAAATATGGTGACGCCATTGGCTCTGCCCTCTTTGACCACAACAATTTGTGTGATATTTTATAGTAGGTGTTTTTCAGTACATTTTTTTAATGGTACAGTACTACCAATGGCAAAGAAAAAAAGAAAAGAAAAGAAAAAAAAAACGGAACCAAGAAAAACCAAAGAAACTAATATTTAGTATTTGTTATGAATGAAGCTGATGGGGTGGGGATTAGTTCAAAATTTGCCAACTGAGATTTTCATCCAGATGGAGTGCTCATACTTATGAATAGGTACCTTGCCTCTGACACTCCCTCAGTGGCGCCTCTGCCTGCCCATTCCTTCCTCCAGGACCCAGGCTCAATCCAGCGTCTGGAATCTGGCCTGAGACAGAACTCTTAATTCCTGAACATACTGACAATATTTAAGAATACTAACTATTACACACACACACTCTCTCTCTCATACACACACAAATAAATACATATACTATGTACTGTATATATCTTATATATATATTAAAATCAGGTCTGTTTAACTTTTCTTTCCGCGTTCAATAGACGGTAAACAAACACTGGATATGAAGTGTATATAAAGAATCAAAAGTAAGTAGATGTATGAACAGATGGACCGGAAGACCTTTTCTCCCTCCCTGCATGTGCCTCACCTCTGCCAGGGCGCCTTTTGTGTATGCTCGTTGTCCCGGGTCTAACTCGGAAACCCTTGGCCAGTGCCCTCCGCGACTTCATCCCGTATGCAACCCCTCCGGTACCAGGTTCTCTGCAGTGTGAGGATAGAATACCCTACTGATATTATTGAGATACGAATTACCGACAGTGAGGAAAAGAAGCAAATTAAGGATTTTTAAATACGTGATTAATCACAGTTTTAGCTTTCGAAAATACTTTTAATGGGTGCCTCAGAAGGAAGAATGAATATGGAACTGTGGCTGTGTGTTATTGTGTGTATTCCTACTCGCTTTGTGGTATTTATTCACGGACAAGGTAAGTGAAAAAGCGCCTGTTATTGCTGGTAATGGT